GTGGTTTAGAACCTATATATATATATTGTTGAAAGAACATTATTCGACTCCTTATGTATTTCATAAAAAATAAGTAAATATAAAAAAAGGAAGATTTACATACATACCATTTAATTCTTGTTTATTAACATATCTAACCCCTAAACTATTAATTTATATATATATATATATATATCATCTTCTTCATGCATGAAAATCTACATTTCAGTGCTTAAATATTAAAATAGTGATATTTCTAATATGATACGAAAGATTTGGGCGGTATGCATGTAAATACCTAGGATTTAAGTGATGCATGTTAAAAAACATTTAAGCTAAATTAATCAGTCACATGCAAACTAAAAAAAAAAAGAATATAAACATTTACTATGATTAAAAACACTAATCACATCATAAAATATCATCCTCCCTAGAAATGAGATCAGAAAGTGGCGAGGAAGAAGAGCTGCCAAACCTTTCTCTAGACTCCATTAACATCAGCACAACTTGCCTCATAGGCGGCCTATCAAATGGCGACATATTCGTACATAAAAGAGCAATTTTTAAAACAATAATCATATGATCTGCAACATTACTGTCTTCAAGATTCAGCTGACGATCCAGAATTCCAGAATCCAAGGAATGGTCCCTAATGTAATTTCTCACCACAGTGACGAGGTCTCCTCCTTGCTCTAATGGCTGCACGGGACCTCTCCCAGTCAGGAGTTCCAGCAGGACTACACCGTAGCTGTAAATATCGCATTTTTCTGTGACCTTCATTGTGTATGCATATTCTGTAAATGAAAGGAATTTTCAAGAATGCAGCAAGAAAGAAGAAATAGTGGGGGGAAAAAAAAAGATTTACATACATGCCCCTCAATTTCTTAAAACTTCAATTTTTACATTCATCCGCTTTATTTATGCATGAAAATATGTATTTCACGTTTTAAAAGTTAAAATGATGGTTATTTTTGATGTAATATGAAAAATTTCGCGAGTATACATGTTAAAAATAAAGTTTAGGTGCGAGGTATGTAAATACAAAGTAATTGGGTGGTATGTTTGTAAATGCCACAAAAAGATCATGTTATCCTCCAAGTGTGAAATTGACTAGGCGACACACTTTGATATACAACTAAGGCAGTTTTACTAAGCTTTATAATATATTACATGATAATGAAAGTTATGACAAATTTCATAAGAGCTATGCCTAATCTAGGTTGCCTTTTCAAAGTGCTCCCCAATGAACTTGAAACATTAGGAGATAGACTGAGAGAAATGCATCAAGAATGTTTTAACCATCTTAAATTGTTCGTCGAAGTGTTACACGATGACTCGTGACAAAAGCAATCAAATTGAATTCATTGTGATTGATTGTATATTGATTAGGCAAGAATTGTCACATGTCTCTTGAATCAAACATAGAAATTGGTATATCTTTAAACATTTATGATTGGTTGTTGATAGGCGACGAATAGTGATAGACGTTGAGCTTTGAAATGCAGGCGACCGCTGGCAACCAATATGGTCGTTATCCAAAGTGTAAGATTAGCATTAGACGTCGAATGTTAATAAATGTCCGAGGTTATTTGTTCGTAAGCGACGAGTGTTAGCAGACAAAACGGTTTGATGTTCGCGCAAAAATGAGTGATCAACTTAGTTGTTCTTCTGATAAGAAGGGAGAACGAGTGTCTAAGAAGAATGTTGGATGTCATTAGCTGGAGGATGATTGGTTCATTTTTACAAATGAGTTTAAATAAAATAAATCCAGATAACTATGCTTCAGAAAAGAACTATTAACTTTCCAAATTGAAAACATTGACATCATTCTATCAACAAGAAGATATCAAAAACTATAGGTCAACAAATGTAGTTCTAAAGAGAAACTCACCAGGCGCGATATATCCATAGGATCCAGCAACAGCAGACATGGATTTCGACTGTGGTAAATCAATCAACCTGGCTAATCCAAAATCACCAACATGCGCCTCAAAATTCTCATCAATTAGTATGTTATTCGATTTGATATCTCGGTGAATAATCTGAGGCTTACAATCATGGTGCAGATAAGAGAGACCGTGAGCAGCTCCAACAGCGATCATGAACCTCGTATCCCAATCCAGGTTCGAAGATTGCCGATGAAGCATCTCGCCGAGACTACCCCTTGACAAATATTCATAAAGAAGAAGATTTGAACCTTGATGATAGCAGTAGCCATACAATTTAACAATGTTCCTATGTCGTATGTTACCGAGAGTCGATATTTCGGCACGGAAGCTATTGTCAGTATGATTACCCTCTCTGTTAGACGAAAGTTTCTTAACAGCGATCACCAAACCATCACTAATAACAGCTTTATAAACAGTTCCGCACGCACCCCTTCCAATGGCGAAAGCTTCATCAAAATTGTTTGTGGCTGCAATTAGGTCCTGGAATGTAAATCCTTTTTTGGGACATATATACAAGTCAGAGGTTGAAGATGAAGTTTGTTTGTCTTGGAAAGGAGTGACAGTCTCCAACGGTCTTTTCATGTAGTATATGATAACTGCTATAAGAATAAGAGCGATTCCTCCAACAGAAGCTGCAGTTACAGCAACTATCTTACCAGCTGGATTCCTAGCTGATTCTGGAACTGGTAAAGGAGTTGAAGGTCCATTGCAACTGCTAAGAGGTTCACCACAAAGACCCTTGTTTCCTACGAAACTACTCGAAGCCATGTTTTGAATGAGCGGTAGCGACGGGATAGGTCCGCTGAGATTATTGTATGAGACATTGAGACCAAGCAAGCTGGAGAGATTCACGAAAGTAGAAGGGATTTCACCATCCAAGCCATTGTTGTTGAGTAAAAGATATTCTAGTAAAGCTAAGTTCCCAAGCTCAGGTGGAATGTGACCAGAGAGATTGTTATAGCTGAGATTCATGGCTATCTGTAAGCTCGAAAGTTGACCAAGCTCCTTCGGAATGCTGCCAGAAAACATATTCCCACCAAGCTGCAATTCTGTTAAATGAGAAAGGTTGCCCAGAATGGAAGGAATTGTTCCTGAAAGCTTGTTATCAGAAAGAATCAGCAGTTCCAGCTGTAGGAGTGTTCCAATATCATTTGGTAGCGCTCCAGTAAGCCTATTCTGGCTGAAATCAAGCCTTTGAAGTTCCCTGCAACTAACAATTTCTGGAGGAATTCTTCCTCCAATTCTATTGGAAGAGATGTTGAAGAAAACCAACTCTGATAAATCACCAATCTCTCGAGGAAGCTCGGACGAAAAGAAATTGATTGGGAGAGAGAGCCTCTGCAGAGCTTTGCAGTTCCTTATCTCAGTAGGAATAGGTCCACTGAACCTGTTCTGATCCAACTCAATGGTTCTCAACCTAACAAGCTTGCATAAATCAGCAGGGAAACTGCCTGTCAAACTATTATCACCCAACCGAAGCTGCATCAATGATTTACAGTTTATGATTCCGCTGGGTATATTGCCCGTAATCTTGTTGGACCACAAATTTAGCATAATAAGATTGGAATTTTTGCACAGATGAACAGGCAATTGTCCAGTGAGGTTATTGTTTGAAAAATCTGCCACCCAAAGAGGACTATAAACACCAAGTCCATGAGGAATATCGCCCGAAAGATTGTTATCAAAGAGTTGAAATTGAAGCAACCGAGGCAAGTACTGCAACCCAATTGGGATAGATCCAGTGAGGTTATTAATTGACAGATCAAGATTTGTCAGATTACTCAGCTCACAGAGCTCAGGTGGTATGAAACCAGATAGCTGGTTTTGGAAGAGATATAAAAGCCGTAAATTTTTTGAGTTCCTCAATTCTGCAGGAATTTTTCCCACCAAAAAATTTTCTGAGAAATCAATTTCCGTCGCCCGTGTAAGATTACCAATCTCCTTTGGTATAGTTCCATTCAGTCCATTCCTGTAAAGATAGAGCCTCTCTATATTCTTCAAGTTCCCCAGCTCTACAGGGATTCCACCAACAAAATTGTTCTGGTAAAGTGCAAGAGTAACTAAGCTTGTGCAATTTCCTAATTCTTTGGGGACTGATCCAGACAAATCATTGCCCCAAAGAATCAGTTCTCTAAGGAACTTCAGCTTCCCAATCTCTTTTGGAATCTCACCTTCAAGCTGGTTCTGTGCGAGGCCCAGGAATTCTATTCTCTCACATTCACTTATCTCTACAGGAATGCTACCAGAAATCATGTTCTGCCCGGCGCGAAAGGTCTCCAAGTTCTTAAGTCGGCCGATGGATGGAGGCAGCGGACCTGTAAGATTGTTGGTGTATGCTACTAACTCTACCAGAGATGAGAGGTTTCCAATCTCATCGGGAAGAGGTCCGGTGAGTCTATTGTTACAGATATTGCACTTGATTAAGGAGGTCAGGTTGTTGAATTCCGGCGGGATTTGGCCTTCGAAGTTATTGTTGTTCATGTACATAACTTCAAGATTTGAGCACATTCCGATCTCTGCAGGGATGATTCCTGAGAAGCTATTGAAGGATAGGTCAAGATAAGATAAGTGCGTTAAACCGCCGATGCTCGGAGATAGAACACCAGACAAATTTAAGGAGTTGAGATCGAGGGAAACGACAACCGGATCATAATCGCTCGAGCAATTCACTCCGGCCCAGCCGCACGGTGTTACATCGCCAGAATTCCAATTGGAGAGGTGCCTCGGACCACCCTTGAGTTTACTCTTAATGTCCAAGAGGTAATGGCCTTCCATGTTAATCCCTTGGGATCCATGAATGAACAGAAGAACCAGTAGCACTGTAGCTTCAAAGGAGGAAGGAGGAAGAACTCTATCAGATTTCAACATATTCAAGTCTTTATATCTGATTATTGATGGGATTTGATGTTATAAAGTCAATTTCAGTCACCAAGAGGTGGTTTAGAACCATTAGGAGATTTAATCTCCACAGTTATTGCTAGCAAATACTCCATGAACAAACCTAAAAAATAGAATAAAATCAAAATTTGGATCAATTTAGTCACATACAATCATCTTTTCAAAACAAAAAAAAAAAGCACGAAACAACTCCTTTTCTTAGGAAGGCATTGGGATCTATTGATCAAATCCAAAATTTGTTAAATCCCACTATTTACATAATTTACAGGATTTAAGAAAATCTCTACATCTCACAAAACTTAAATCCAGATACAGACAAATAATCAAATAGTTTAGCAATAAATAGCATAATTTAAACACTTTTCATGCAAACAATTTTCTGATTACAATCCCCTAAAGATTAAGATTTACCAAATCAAACTAAAATTAAATCCAACTTTTAACAAAACAGCCACAAAGAATCCAAATGTCAATTACCTGAGTGGTTCCAAAAGCCTCAAGCATCCATGAAAATAGCATCACAATCAGCAAGCCCAGTCAACACAGAAGATAATCCAAACCAATTCAAACCCTAGATGACATTTGCCGCTCGAATCGATAAGCGAAAAAGCGAAAATGGTTACAGATTCAATCAGAATTCATTGCTTGGATTACTAGCTCCAGTTTAGCTTCCTCTATTGACTAAACTAAATAACAAAAAGCCATTAAAAGCTACATCTCACCCTCGACCCACATCTATCGATCACAAAAATGGTAAGCAAAGCCATCAAAACCCTAGAGAGCACTTTTTTCTGAAATAAAAATTTGCTTCAACTCTTCCAATAGATTCTGAAAAAAGTTAACTTCCCACATTTTACAGGAGGCGCGAGATAAAAATCCCACCTTTTTTTTTTTAATCCAACTTTCTTCTTTCTGCGTTTTCTTCTAATCTCCCTCCACAATTGTCTCCAACGTGTCAATAAGAAATACAAAGCCTAAAAAAGGTTGAATAATAAACCTAAAACAGAAGAAACGTGAAACAGAGTAAGGGGGCGACGTAGCGAGAAAAAGAGGATTTTTAATGGCCGGCAAGCACGTTATTGATTTCCTCTTCAGTCTTTCTGTCCAAATCCAAAGGTCACCCACCCACTCTCGCCACTTTCCCTCTCCCCCATTATCAAAGATTTCACCTTTAGCGTTCTACTGCGTTTCTTCATGTATCTGCTTCATGTATGAGACTGTAAGTAGAATGGCTTGACAATTGCCGTGGGACTGTAAGTAGATACGGGCAAAATCTGTGCAATTTATTTATTTATTTATTTTGTATGGGAAGTTCTGTTGAATTGAGGGAACGCAAGGCAGCAGATGTTTGAATGCTTTGGAAGGTAAAAAGATTTAAAATTGTTTTTCAAAAATATGTCACCATCTTTCCCCTCGGCGTATGATCCGATCTAATTTTTATTTAAAATTAATTTCAGAATAGTTAAAAGTTTTTTTAAGGGAAGTGGATATCACTCAATTTATATTCTTTTATATATCAAACATCTCTATTTCGCTTTTTTAATTTATATAGCATCTTACATACAATGTATACGTACATACAGATATATACATATATATATATATATATAT